GCCTTATTTCAGAGATGACCAAAAAATAAATTGGTTTTGAAATTCACATTTGAGCTGTAGAATCCTTTGTCAAAGTAAAATCCAAAATAATAAAACAGCAAACATTTACCGAGTCTTCAGCTTGTGCAAGGTAAGCAGCTCATTTGTGTAGTACTATTTAACCTCACCACTCTAAAATAGCCATTGTGTTATTATATTTTACACATGAGGAGAATAAGAAGTTAACTTGCTGCAGACAACATACTATATAAGCCACCCCATAAAAGTGGGGCTGCCATGGAGGCTTTTGGGTTGGAAGAACACAAACCTTTGACCGCTCGCCTTCTTGATCCTCCATCCCCTGCCTCCCAGCAATCCCAAGAATCCCAAGGCTCTGTGGAGCAGTTTAACCATCATTTGGCTGGGTGATCCTGACAATATCTTTTCAGTCTATTTCTAATGGCTCTAATTCTGGTGATGTAAATAGTAATTATCAGGACAGGCCCTTTAAGACTGGGTGTTGGCAAACCTTACTCTTCCTTAAATATGGGCATGGGATCACTTTTGATGTACCTTTGAAGGATATTTTTGTATTTTTTAAGCTACTTGATTGAATAAATGAGCAAAGAAATAGAAGAATTGTGCAAATATAAACATTCTGATGCTTTTAGGTTAAAGGTGTTGTTTATATTAAAACAACAGTGTTGGGAGAGGGAAGGACAGGAAAGGACAGAGGGGAGGTGTGATCATGTCACAGTGTGCGCATGTGTGGAGATGTCACCATGAAACCTGTTGTTCTGTAGTATTAATATCATTAATTATAATTACAAAAACTGCTTAAAATCAGATCAATTTATATTCTTTAATAATTAAGTTATTAAGTATCCTAACACAGTTTCTTACATACTCACTGACAAGTTACCTCAAATAAGCCCATCTAAGCGCTAGCATTAGGTTGCAGAATTTTTGCCTTTCCCATTAACTCGATGTCTGTCTAGGTAGTTGGCTCACCTCAAGTGCAGAGTTCACCAAGGAAAAGGGAGACTTTTGATCTCTTTGTTAGCTTTCCACAAAGGGAAAAAACTTCACAGGCTGAACCTCTTAACTCACATCAGACATCCCCAAATTGCATGATTTTAATGTCAATAAGCGATTGGAGGAAGGGGCCTTTCTTACAGCATGGCTTGGGGTGTAAATGGGTGTAAAATTATCGGAGGGCAATTTGACAATAGCTATTAAAATGAAATGCTCAAACTCTTGACCCAATAATAATTCACCTTCTGGGAATTCATCATAGAAAAATACTTCCCAAACTGCTGAAAGATGTTTAAGTATAAAGCAATGTTTGGAAAAAAATTTGTTACAGAGAATATTGGAAAGAACCCAAAGGTGCATTAACAGGCAATTGGTTAAGGAAGGGATGGTTCAACATACAGCACAATACCGTGGAGCCCCTGAAAAGAAGATTTAAAACAACGTCACTTTTTACACACTGACATGGAAAGATGTCTAAGACATATTGCAAGCTAGAAAACATGCTTCTGGATTGTAAGAGTATAATCCCTCTTTGTGAAATAATAAATGCTAATATATGTCTTGGAAAAAAGTGAATGGCTTTTCTCAGCTATGTGGGATTATGGAAGATTTTCACTTTCTAAGCCGATTATATTACTCCAAGTTATTTATGCATGCAGATTTCTGTATACGTATATGCCGTTACCTTTGCAATCAGAACAACATTATTTCTACAGTTTGGCCCTCTGAGAATCTCTCAAAAGAGTGCAGAAGTTTGGTCCAAATCCACTGACTTCTCTGTAAAATAAAGCTTAACTGACATGGAACAGTGATACCATGTACAAAACTGGGGACCATGCATAGAAATTCTTCCAGTCCTCAAATCTATAGAAAGTTGTAATAATTAGTCCATAATGACGTCTTCTTTCAAGGAGGAATTGGAGTAAATAAATTTAAACTGCAGCCAGTTTTTAAACCACTACTGCACTCAAGCTAACCTCAGTTTTCAAAGTGACTTGACAGGAGCAGCAGTGTGTCCATAAAAGACAAAAAGGAGTTTCTGTTTAAATTTTACAATTTTTTTCAGGATAAAATTTGGTACAGTTTTTCTATCTGTTTCCCTTGGGAGGGGCCTGTAGCTTATGAAATTAAAGGGAAAATCACAAATACAAAATTTGGTACAAAGCTTGGGAAGGGGCCTCCTAAAAGCAGAAGGGCTTCATCTGAAGGCTGTTGTCTTCTCCATGACTTTCGGGGAAGCCTCACTGCTCTGGCTCAGAGTTCTGAAAGCAAGATGCCCTAGGACAGGAACAGGTCCCCTTCCTTTTCTTTAAGAATCATCCTGCTGAAACAGTTTCCGTCTCACGTGTGGTGGCTTACGGTGATGGCTAGTCCCCGGGCTCTCCAGGGATACTCAAGTTTTTGGGGATGGAAGTGCTCTGGAAAAGCTCTGTTTGTTGACGATGGCAGACACCCAGTTCTTGAGGCTCATAACACTATGGCAGTTGGTGTTGGGAAAGATATATTAGGTCATCAATCTCGATTTGGGTCCAAGGCAGGATGGTTCACTATTGTCACCATTCCAAGCCTTTGTCCAGGCAGCTTTGAAATGTCTCTAGAGCCTAACTCCTAAGCTGTTCCTCTCCTCCCGTTCCTGGGAAAATGTTGAAGTACTTGACTTAAAGCAAAAGAAATAGGGCATTTTAGGGTTGGAGCTGCACAACGGCTTAATTATATCCACTCATCTAGATTTCTATCAATGCTTTCCTCATGAAGAAAGCAATTTAGGGTAAGGAAACCCTCTATCTCTAGCATAAAGTTGCCATCAAGAAACAAATCACAGATTTTTTTCCCATTCTTTCTCCTTCTGCTTTGTTGGTGAGGTTTTTTTTAAGTCTTAGGGAAGAAAATAAACTTGCAAGGCTCTCCTTAAGCATTATCAAGAAAGAGCACTGTTTCGAAGTTGGTTTTTGTTAATGGAAGTAAAGTAGCACCTTCGTCTTTCCTGTAAACACTTATTCCGAATCTGTTTACCTTTGTCTTTTGAACACCCCATGTGTTCTCAATTGTTATTTTAGGCTCTATTGGGGCTATAAAAATGGGGAATTTCCAAACTAAGCTTTATTTTCTCATGTTTTCCTTTAACTTCCATGTTGAATGATCCTAATCTGACGGAAGAGAGGATTCTCTGTTTCGATAAGCAGTGCTCTTTGATGGTTGCTGTTCTACAGCAAAGAGCGGATTGTTCTAGACTGCAAAGAGAATAGACTTGACTTAATGCTATTGTTTGATCAAAGTAGGCTTTAGGTCCTTCAGGAAATCATTTCTGTGCCCAACATGTATTTGTGATTTACCTGTTCGCTACTGAGAATATTCAAAATAATTCTCTATTAGCAATACTATTAGCAAATATGAAAGTGATAAGCAATAATGTACTATTTGACTACGTGTATTTGGAAGTCCATTTCCATTTTACTTCCAGACCAGTGAACCAGTGAGCATTAGGTTATTATGCTAATGGTGTCAGCATTCATAAATTAACCACAACCAAACCTTAAGGCTAGAGCTGTGTGTTTTGTTTTGTTTTGCTTTATTTTGTTTTGTTTTGTTTTCCTTCTGAAAGTTGAGCTTCCAGTTTGCCAAGTATCAAAAAACTGACCATAAATATTATCTGAGTTAAACTTATCTGCACTTAACTAGATTAGAAAGTTGACTGGGAATTCATCCAAGATGTGTTCATCAAAAAATAAAGGTGTTTGAAAGTGGAAGGAAGAAAGATTACGGAGAGCAAAACTAACCTGAGACCTCCTGAACCTGGAAAAATCACTAACGATAGCAGAACTGAAGGTAAAAGAATTTTATTTTTATTTTTAAGATAGTGTAAAATAATATGTCTATCTCTGAGAACTTCAGTGACTGCTCTTTTTACAGAAATATTCATCTATAAATAAAAATTCCCCAAAGGTGCAAAATTATCAAAATTACAGTATCACTGCAAATCACTACAAAATATTTTCTCAACCTTATTTGTCAGAGATAGTTTTGTATGATTTGTGAATGCACGTCAATTGTTATCTCATAAAGAATTTTAAGTATTTAAATGGTGCATCAAACAAATTCTTTTTAGGAAAAATAGTGAAATTACATGAATTTAAAATGGTCCAGAAAATTAAGGACTATGCAATGAAAAATGAATACTACTAGTGACCTCAGTAATGTAAGCCATACTAAACCCCTTACTAGAATAAAGTTGTAAGCTCTTAAATCAATGGATTATCTAAATAAAATGCTGTAGGTAGAACCAGGTTCAATAAGTATTTGTGGGACAAATAAACAGATTGAACGGAAGTAGATACCAGATTTTCTTTCTTTTTTTTTTTTTTACTTGTCTTTTTGAGAGAGGATCTCACTATGCAGTTCAGGCTGGCTTTGAATTCACTTTGTAGCCCAGGCTGGTCTTGAACTCACAAAGATCCTCCTGCCTCAGCCTCCTGAGTGCTGGGATTACAGGAGTGTGCCACCAGGTCCAGCTGGATTTTCAATTAACTGTTATACGTTTTGCTGACTGTCTTTAATAGTTATGCCCAGTCTAAATACTAACTGATAAATTGTAGGAAGTTACACATTTATAATCTTATAAATGAGCAATTTCAAAAATTAACATGTATAACACAGTTAAGAACTTGGTTTAAAGTGAAATTAATTGGTTTGTGTACATCAAAAGAAATCCAGTGGTGGGAAAGATCCAGTTTCTCAAACAACGTGACAGGAATGCCTCCTCTTAGCCTCATACTTTACTCTTCTGTGCTGCTTTTATTCTCATACATATAGACTGGCAAGGAATGAACCAACACTGCCACCCCTGGCTTCTGCGAGTCTGTTGTACAGTAGAAGCCGACTTCCCATTGTGTAGGCCTGGGCCTCACTCCCATCTCTGTGCCGCACGGCAGTGTTGCGATGGCACATTCGTTTTCTGCGGTTGCCATAGCAAATCACCATAGTCTGGGTGGCTTAACACAACAGCAGTTTATTCCTTCACATTTCTAGACACTCTGGGTCCCAATTCAAGGTATCAGCAGGGTCATGCTACCTCCAGCGGCTATGGAGGAGACGGTTTCTTGTTTCTTCCAGCTTTTGGTGGCTGAGGGAATTCCTTGGTTTGTGGCCACATCCCTGGAACCTCTGTCTGTGGTCACATTGTTTCTTTGTTCCCTCTGTGTGTCTGTGTCAAATCACTCTCTGCCTCTGTCCTGTAAGGGCACACGTGACTGTATTTTGTGCTCCCTGAGAGAAATCAGGATGATTTTATCTCAAGATCCTTAATTATAGCAGCCAGGACATTGTTTCCAAATAAGGTTAAATCCACCAATTCCAGAGACTGGGATATGTTTTGAGGGGCCACTATTCAACCCACTACAGCCGGTAAATGTTTAACAATCTCTTTGTCAAGAAAGAGGGAGCCTAGTGAATAACACTGGCCCGTTATATAATGTAAGCCCCCCCCCCCCACACCACCACCACAGCCGATTTCGAGCTCTAAAGGGCAGGTCACTGAACATGGAGTTGGGAAGAGATACACAGTAAACATCACTATACAGTATTTCCACCGCACAGATCCAATCGGTACAAATCCCTTCAAGACCCAAGACAATAGTAAAGTGAAACCAAATGATTAGGAAGTAATAAGATCTGAATGTTGCCTTCAGTTTTAGTATAATTCATTTAATTATGTTTATATGCTTTAAATTTAATGATTGGGTTTAACAACTGGTTAACAAAATTTCTGAACACTAACCAGTGGATTTATTGGCTGTGCTCCTATGAACTGGATAGAATGTGTCATTCGATAAGGCCTGAATCATAGAGCCTAGGGCTTAAGGTTAGCAATATCTAAACATCTGAACTGAAAATATGGTTGGTGTTTCTTTAACAGAAATTCAGCATGCTACAGCCTAAAGGAAAAAAGAAAAATTAAGATCCACTTTAGTATCACTGAATAAACATTTTAATGCTTTCAGACTGAGGGAAAAAATCAGCAAAACTCAAAACACAATACTATATTGTGGGGCATGCATGACCCTGCAAATGAGTCTTTCTACCTAAGGAAAAATCATTATTTTTTGCATTCTCATTTTAGTTACCTTAAAAAAAAGTCTCTTTTTCAAGCCTGGCCACATGTATCCCAAGGGGGTTAGGCTCAGGAAAAGAGAAATTTAAAGAATACTAACAGCTTTATTGAGATGTAATTCACACACTATGTAATTCATCCACTTAAGGGGCAAAATTCAGTAGTTTTTAATACACCCGCCAAGCTAGACAATCAACTTCATTTTAGAACATTTTCGTCGCTCCAGAAAGAAACCGTCCTGTTTTGCTGTCACCTCCAACACTCCCACCCTTTCCCCAGCTCTTCCGCTTAGCATGATGTTTTTAAAAATTCAACCATATTGTCACATGTGTGAGTATTTCCTTTCTTTTGCTTGCTGAATAATATTCCCATATATCAATATACCACCTTCATCAGCTGACAGGCGTTGGAGCCCTTGTCCCTTTTTTGGCTGTTATGAAAATGCTGCTAGGAGCATTCATACACGAGCTTTTACGTGGACATCAATGTCTGTTTTTCTTGAATCAATGGCTTTCAAGCCGAATTTTTTAGCTAATTTTCCTATTTTCCATATGATTGAGGGAGCTATCAGAACTAAACTCAGAAGGCCACATATAGCATTTCAGACTTGCTACTGGCTGTGTCACCACCCCCAGCCCTGCTGTTCCCTGGTAGGGAGGAGAGGCGTGTCCGGCAGGAGGCAGTGGGAGCTGACCTGATTTGGGGCTCGCAGATCACGAAGCAGATGTGAGTGAATTTCCTCTGGAGTTGCCACGCCTGGGCCTCGCCCACAACAGGCTCAGAGTACTTAGCCCATCACAGCGTTCCCCTGGGAGCTCTCCATATGCAAAGGACAAAGGATCGTAAACACAGAACCTTGCTTTCTGATCTGGAAATTAGAGTCATAAGACTTGGAAGACCTGCAGAAAAGAAGGGGGAAAATTAGCTTCCCCGATGCAGGCCGGGACAGTTTCCTTTTCTCTGGAGCATGACTTGGGAAAGTCCTTCCATGTGTCCTGCAGGCCTGCAATAAAACAGAGGGCTCTATATTAATTTATATAGCAACTTTCTTCCAAGAAATGCAGAGTGTCTCAAACAGTCTTTCACTCATTCTCCTAAGGGAGTTTGCATAATGTGCATAAGAAATGACTTCTTTTAAAATTTACACTCTTCAGTTAGTCAGTACTGGGCAGAAATAGAACTATAAAAGCAGACTTCCTGACCAAACATTCCACTATAATATTTTTCAGTGGGTGTCTATAAATCAATGCATATCCTTAAAAACAGGACCTCTCCATCATAGCCCCAAGATGCTGCTGTCTGTGGCTGCTATTCCTTTCACCCAGAGCAGAGCTTTCCCTTCCAAATTAGAACTAGTAGGGCACGTGCCACGTAATGGTAGAATATCATTTATTTACAATTACATGCTCACGATCACCGAGACTCTCAGACTGACAGTCGGGTTTTACTCTCTCTCTGAGGCTTCCTAACTCAACTTTAAATGAGACCCTCTTAGGAATCCTAGGGCTGGCTCGACCCTAACAGAAGAGTCTCGCCTATCAGTGCTGGAGAGAAACTGGAGACCAATCTGTCCCACTGTTGTTTCTTGCTGCTGTTATTTTTCCGTGGGGCCTCACTGGCCCAGGGAACCTTGCTAATTAACCTGGCTGGCATCCTCAGCTCTGGTTTCCCAAAGCTTAGCTCCTGGCCTGGGTGGATGAGCCTGCAAGAATTTGGAGCAAGCACCCATGCAGGGCAAGCCCACCCCTGGCCCCAGCCATTTAGTTCCAATATTGGGCCTTTCCTCAAGATATTCCTGTTGTGACAGCCTCAGGGCTCCACTTAAGGAAAAGTCTTTGTCAGCGCCACTTGAGGTCATGTGGAATCGCAGTGAAAGACTAGGGAATCGCCTGGGCTTTTCCCAGATATCTAGGGAATATCTGTGGTTTTTCTATCCCTGGAAAACTTCTGGATATCATAATTTCTTTCCCAGTGATTTCCAAGGAATGAGAAGTCTCGATCCAGTTCAATGCAATAAAAATACAAAGTTCAATGCCGTGTCCCTTGTACTTCTAGCACTGGGCACATTTCGTTTGGACACCCATAAACTCAACACACACCTCGCCTTGGTCACGCTCTCACTGCTGGGACTCAGTGCATGGTTGGAGGCCTGGCGGATGAGCCCCTTACAGTGGACAGGAAGCAGAGAGAGAAGAAAGGGCATGGGGAGGGAGAGACCTCTTCCAGGCCATGCTCTCAATGACCCGCCTCTTCCGACCAGAATCACCACCTAATGACAAGTCACTATAACACCCCCACATCCCAGTCACCTTCCGACAGCACTGCCTCTCAGTGCAGGAGGCCTGGGGGCAGCTAGATGCAAACTGTAACAGAGCATTTAAACTTCATGTTACTTGTCAACCAGGACTGGTTTTAGTCATTGGGGATCAGTGAAAAGGAGAAAAGAGAGGTTTCTTTCTGAAAACTTAAGAACGTCAGGATGATAGCAGAGCACTAAAACAAACACAGAGCGAGGCGTGGCAGCACACATCTGCAAATCCCAGCTGTGTGCGAGTCTGAAGCAAAAGCATCACAAGTTTCAGGCCAGACTGACGAGTTCTGCAAGCCCTGTCTGAAAAATAGGATAAAACGGCGCTGAGAATGGTAGCGGCTTAGGGACCCCTGGATTTTCCCTTCCTCATGCACACAGGTGTGCGTGCACACACACACACACACACACACACACACACACACCAGAAATAGGAGCCACTTCTAAGTATGAGATTCCCAGTGACTGCACAGGTAACGCACCTATGCAGTTAGCTAGCCCTGATACCAGTATTTAAGAAGAAAAACTTCTTAAACTAGAAAATCTGATGACCTAAGGTCTGAGTCTCCAAATGGCCCCCATAATTGGTTGGTCCTAAGTATAATTTATATTCATTGTTTGGAGCTTCCATAACAAAATGCCACAAATTGGACCGTTTAAGCGAAGGAAATTTATTTTCTCACAGTTCTGCAGGCTCCAGTTTGAGATCAAAGTATCAGGAGGTTGGCTTCTTCCAAGGCCTTTTCCTTGACTTATAGACGGCTCTCTTTACTCTGTATCTTCACGTAGTCTTCCTTCTGGACATGTCTGTGACCTAAACTTTTCTTACACGGATGCCCACGTTCACGCTGGGTGAGGGCCCACCTCATTATAACCTCGTTGTCCCTTTAAAGGACCTGTTTTCAAACACAGTCCCATTCTGAGGTACTTGTTAGCATTCCAACATATGAATTCTGGGGGAGCCCAGTTCAGTCCACAACACAGCTTTACTGCACTCAGCCCTCCCCCCAAGATGTGCTCAGACACAAGGGCTCCCCTTCCTGAGGCAGGAGTCAGCTACCGGAGACTATGTCACGTGTGCTGCGGTCTCCCTCCTGGTTCGTCTCTCACCGAGGGCTCTGCTCCTCCCCTGCTGCATAGGGAATGGTGCCACAATCATGGAACAACGCTGCATAATCCATCCACTCCTGTAAGACTAAAGTTGCTGCTCATGTAATTCTTCATTGAATAATCAATTTCCTTATAAAAAAAAAAACTGCACCCATTACATAGAGCTAACACCTCAAGGGCAGTACAGAATGTTCAAGGAAGAAACTACCGTGAGGTATAACTAACTGCTCACCTCAGGATGAGACTGGAAGGCTTCAGGAGTGGAAATCTCTCCACAGCAACGTAGTTCTTTTCTGGGACGTCTCACTTCAGTCACCAGGCTGTGTATGGGGTGGCCCTAAATTTCAATGGAAACCCAATGGGGTAGCCCCTCCAAGAGGGTGTACTCCCACATGGTCTTTGTACCTATTTGTAGAAAAATGTTAGCCAGATTATAGCGTAAAACTCTGCTAATTTGGGGGAAGATTTTGGTCTTGTGCCTGGAACTATTGAAGCATATATTCACACCTACCACATATGACACTTAGTAGCAGAATTTCCAGCACAACACTTCAGTGCTTTATTTTTAAAAGAAACAGCAGAGACTGAAGTCCCGCTCACTCTGCAGCTTGCCTGCAGAAGTCTCCCTCTACAAAAGGTGGGGAGACAGAGGGGAGCTTCTGTGCTGAAAAGAGGCACATTCTTCAGTTTTAAAATCTTTGCTCAGAATTAGGAAACTCACAATGCTGAAATATGCAACATTTGCACCTGCATATAAATTTTTTAAAGTCACATTTGCGAGGTTCTGAAAAGAAGGGTGTAGTATAATGATTGTTGAATAACTCCCAATATTGAAGTTTAGAAAGCGCCTTCAAAGCATCTTACTCTAAACTCTTTGGCTTTAAGACAAGGAGATTCTAAAATGTTGAATGACTTGCCCCAAACCAGCATTCCACCCAAAATGCAGGTCTTTTCTTTTAGGCTTGTGTACTTCCCACCCCACTGGGCTACTTTTAAACAGACATTGTTCTGCCAGCCTGAATTGCATGAAAAACACAGTACGTGTCACACACACACACACACACACACACACACACGTGTGCGCGCGCGCTCGCTCTCTCTACATGGGAATCTCTATTTAGACTCCAGAGTTGAGAAAGCAAGGGCTATTTCAGTTTCAACTCCCTTAGCAAACAGAAGAAAAGGCATCTGATCCACAGACGTCTCCAGCTGGTCCCCTGGTCTCGCTGCCCGCTGCCCGCAGGTCTCCATGCAGCTAGCAGGCACTGGCTGCCAGTCTGACACCAGGGGGCGCAGTGTCCTTTGTCCTGACAGACACTGAAGCAGGCTCTGAAGGCTGGCAGGGTCTTCAAGAAAATCTGACTTTCCCTTCTTTCAGAGTTCCTCAGGACAAACAGCTCACTTCCCAGCCCCCTCCACATATTAAAGCCATTTTCCCTGTCCTTTGTGACAGCATTCTTAGTCTGTGTCCTCACAGCGTCAGATGTGCGCATGGCACAGGGCTGCAGCCGGAAGGGACACCAGCCCGAGCCCAGTTGTCCCTTCTCTGCAATGCCTCGGAGACAAGGCGACATCACTGCTGCCGCGGCCGCCTGAGGCGCCTTCTACAACTGCCACAGCTGTTGCAAGAGGAGGTCATCAGGCTTGCGCTCCCCGGGCAGAAGCGCTTCCTAGAAGTTGCCACTGAAGATGGGAAGAAAGGCTGCAGACAGCTGAGCAAGCTCAAACCGAGTACAGAAAGTTAGGGTGTATGAGCACCGACGTATGAACACCGTGCAACACAGTCGGCTTAGGGTGGGAGGTGGGAAAAGAAGGTGTCGGCTGTTCTCTGGGTGCAGCTGGCACCACGATCATTTCCCGGGGTGCGGATGTGGAGGATGAAAGGGCACAATTCAAGGTCTGAGCATTCCTCGCCAAGCCAGAGCCAGCCGCTTCCCTGCTAAGACGAGGCTTCTGTGTGGGGCACGGAGCTGAGCACACACCCTCCAAGGGCAGATAAATGGGCTTCAGACAAAACCAAAAGTAAACCACTACTCACAAGAATTGGGCTAAAGCACCTCCAAAGCTTGTTTCAGCAGCTAGCTTGAGCTGAACAAAAGCAAAGTGGAGAGACTGGGGCATCGGAGGTGCAAACGTTCAGAGTCTAACCTTTCTTCCGCCCGTGGCAGCTGGATGTGGGAGACCTGTTTGGGGTGCACCCCAGCTCTTGAAAATCAATCAGAGATTTGTTCCTGGAAAACCACTGATTCATTTCCCACACTTCTGGGAAGAGGAGATTTTCCTCGTCCTCTCCTTTGCCAGAACTCGGCCTTACAGAAGTGGAAGCAGGTAGCCTCCTGGGCAGGAAGGTAGCAACTTTCCTTTTGCCCTGCGGTGTCCTTCCTATTTAAAGCAGCACCGCCTGTCATATAAGCTTCGAGCCAATATGTGCAGGCAGGAAGATTTTCTGACATGATAAAGGGAAAGATGCTAAGAGCAGATGGGAACCCTTTCCCAAGGCAATGGGGCCGAGAGGAAAGCCGTTACACCGCACCCCGGCAGGAATCCCTGGCCCTGGCTCTCCGGGTCAGCACCTAGGTGTGTGCGCTTACATTTAACAGGAGGGTGTGTCGTTTTCATATCTCGGAATTATCTGGCCGCGCCTGTTAAAACTGCATCTCCCACTAAAGTCCATGTTGTCACTCCCTAAAAGGGAGGTGTATTTTCAATTCTTGAGGGATCTGGAATAACGGTATCAGAGTATACCGACACCTACAAGTCAATCTTCCTCCCTCTTCCCGCCCCCTCACGAGGCCTTGAGAGCTAAGGGTTGGCCTGGAGAGGCGGTTTGTAGCCTCATGGGCAGGTAGCAACAACCCCGCCAGATCTTCAGAGGCAAAACTAAATAAATAAGGACCGCTTCAACCGTCATATTTTGATAAAAACCTCTCCTCTGTGAAACTTTGTGTTTTTATAGAAAAGCACTCCGTCGTATTTTACAAGTCACTTTCAAAGGCACTCCTGACTGTCTGACCACTTGTTAAAATGCCTCTGTGCTTGCTTTTCTACGCGCGTTTGTATCTCTAATAAGCAGCATTGTTTGTTATCCTTGGGTCCGTGCCCCTGGGATTGAACTGAAATAAAGCAGCAGCGCTGTGGCTCGGCGATGGGAGATACGCCGGGTTTCCCAGGCCCGGGAGGGTCGCGGGCCGCTGAGCACCCGCCCGGGGAGAGCCCACCCGCGCGTGCGCCCCAGCGAAGGGCAGGTTTGCAGGCGTGCCTCCCTCCCGCCGCCGAGGCCGGAGCACCCGAAGCCTGCAGGGCTGGGCGCAGGAAGGGGCGCACGGGGGCGGGAAGCGCCACGGCGGACCCGGGATAGCGGTGCGATTCGAGGGTGGGGCAGGCTGAAGTGGCCGGGATATTTTTAAAAGGCACTGCGGCGCGGGAATCGCTCTGAGCCACGTTTTGGCTCCAGGACTCAGACCTCGTCCCGGGTAGTAAATAAACTCTTACTGGGAAATCCTCGTTTTCCCGAGTAGCCTCGCGGTCTCGGCTGTTCAAAGGAACATTTCACCGAGGACGAGGCTGACTCCCCGCCTGGCCCATAGTTGCCTAGTACTTGTCCTCATTTCGTTTTCAACTCAGTTCTCTTGTGGCCGTGGAGAGCCTGAGCGCGCGCTCTAAGAAGATAAAGTGCTGCTGCCGCCCAGACGCACTGCGTCTTTCGGGCGCTGCAGACCCCGGGCCTGTCTTAACTTTCGTTGCTCCCAAACGACGTGAGGTTTGCTACCAAAATGCAGAAATCCTCCCGGAGACAAACCGCGGGGCGCCTCCCGCGTCTGGGGGGCTCCCAGCGCCGCCCGCTGCGTCTCCACATCCCCCAGTTCAGCGTCGGGTGCTTCGGGGAGAGGGTGCCGCTGAGAAGGTCGTTAACCGAGAGCGCAGCCCGCAGCCCTTCCGGGGCCCAGCCCTGAGTGCCTTCTCCGCGGCTTCCTGTGGCGCCTGGCCTCCTCCTTGCACCCTTTCTCCCAGCAGGCTGCAGAGGCTGTTCGCGTCGGCCTCGCTGGCTGCGCTCCCTTAGCCAGCTGGGTTGTCTTAAAACGTGGGGAGCTGCTTGTTCGCTGGACCAGAGTGATTTCCCTCCAGAAACTGGGCTCGCGGGCTTGGGGAGCCCCGATTTGCCGCGAGCGCGCATCCGCGGAGTTCTCCGAATTTTAAGTAGTAAAGTGAATTTCGGCGCAGGGCGAAGGGCTGGGGTTTTGCAGTGCAGGGTAGGGGCGGGAGCCGAGAGACTTTGCCTGGAGACTTTGCTTTTTAAAGTCAGACCTCCAGTGAGGCGGGAGCACCTAGGACCCTGCCTCGCGGTGTGCGAACTTGCGGAATCGGGCCGAGTTGCAGCCCATCCCAGCGGCCCGGGCCGGCACAGCCGGGCCGTTTCCAGTTCCCAAAGGCCAGCAGCGCTCGGGCTCTGCCCGCTGCCCCTCCTGCGCCTCCCGGGCGCCCAGAGCCACCCCACGCGCCGGGACTGCCCTCCCGGGCAGAGGCAGCAGAGGCCCCAACAGGTAGTTGCCCTCGGGATCTGGCCTGGTTTAAATGCCACAGGCGGGGCGCGCTGCACTGAAGCCGAGACGCAGACACTTAAGGAGTCGTGGAACGAAAGTCGCGTTCCGGGAGTCCCTTTAAATAACCCTGTCTTCTCTCCGCTCTCCAACGTCTCCTAAATAGCGCCAGCTGTTCTGTTTGAATGGCGCTGGGCGAACCTAAAAGATCGGATTCAGGCCGGCGACCCGCACCCCGCACGCTCCAGGAGTTACTGCAGAACGCACCTCGGCTTTAGAGCGAAAGGCAGTTTAAGATTCCTCTTCCAGATGCCCTGGGCTCGAAAGCAGAAGAGGGAGTGGGGCGCCCACGGTGCCTGGGTGACCCCTGCACTGCACCCGCCCCTGGAGCACGGGGAGGAAAAGCGCGAGGCCAGGCCGCGTGTGCAACGGGCTCCAGCGGGCGCCCCGCGCTTCCTTGCCAGGGCAGCGGGCGAACTGGGGCTGGGCCACTGTGCTCTGCCCACGCACGGACGCGCACGCTGGGACAAAGCAGAAGGCGGTTGGGCCGCGGGGCCCTTTCCCTGGGGGGCGCTCGCCCGAGCGGCCT